ATTTTTCTTCATTACCCATTCAAGCCGTCTCCAACCATTATAAATGAATTTTGTTATGATATAAAATTTCAACCACACGTAGTGTTTTATCTCCAACTTTTGAGGTTTGTTATAAATAATGTGCAAATTGCTTCGTGTGCACATAAGCATAAGTACATTCAATATTATTTTGCCTTAAATACATATATATTTTAATCTATATCAAAAGATCAAGTACAAATCAAAAATCCTTTAACCTCAGCATAAACAAATTTGATAAATTATATTTAAAACAAATGACAAATAGGCTGTTCTAGGACTTTGAACGTAACCAGTTTTATTATCACGTGATTTTGATCCCTGTTTTCCGTGTTGATGACAACCAGATCTATAGAATAACGTATATATTGGAAAGCAGTGAAGTAATACAATGTAAAAAACATGTTGCTGTTTTTTCCACACTTAAAGTCCATTTAGGTAACATTCAATGCTGTTGCTGTAGTTGGGCTGATGAGGAATAGTTCGAAGTTGAGTTTGACATTATTATGGTTTGTTATTAAATATGAACAAATATGATTCAAAGATTATTATATACATCACAGAGTGAGCTTCCAATGAGATAGCGTCGAAACATATTTTGTTGTATATATATATGTGTGTAAAGCAGTGTATCAACAAAATCCACGTGAAGCTTTATCCATAGTGGTACAGTTGACAATCTTCCGTTCAGACAGTTGATAAGTACGTGCCACCATTTAACTTGCTTGGTGAAACTAATAATATAATTACTGTTATGTTTTAATGTTACGAGAGCTCATCTTTAAACATAATATTTAACATGTAATCAGGAATATACACCATACATTGTTTCAGTATGCTATGTATTAACTGAACAATGACACTTGTAAGATTCATGTTACTCACAAAACATCAGTACTCACATATAAAAATGTCCCTAACGTTTTCTAAAATATTCTTTCAACCTATTTTTTGGTGATTCTCCAGGGCCCATCATCAATGCTACTTCACAACCTGGAGAAGGAGAAGGAGCTCCTACGCATCTTCTTGAGAGTCTCTCAAATGGAAAACATTATTTTGCGTCGAATGAATCTGTCGTCTTTTTTAATGGTTCCTGTTCAGAGGGTTACTAAGTTAGTATATATATATATATATTAGTAATTTTATACTATTGCTTGAGAAACTTAAATTATACGTAAAATGAAAAACAAATTAATTTAATTACTTTATTGTAATATTTTAAACTTAGCAATTTATAGTACAGGCACGTGAAATAATATTAGATATTGGAAATGTATACAGTGAAAACACTAACACATATATATATATATCACAGTTGTTAGAGTAACTTGTTCGTTTCGCCGTTTCTCAATATAAAATCGAAACGCTTAGTAATGTAATGAAGTTGATTTTAGGCTACATATCACATAAAGAAGTTTTCAGTTTGTTAGAACACTTCTTGTATAGGTAGTCAAGTGTAACTTAGCTACAAGTAATTAACCTTGTTTCATTAAGAGTTCATATCCTCGTGTTTTGATTAGCGTTCTACTTCGACAAATCATTCCATTAACCGAATTATTTCATAAATAGTAAACAACACTCGACTACCAATTCATACGTGTAGAAGTGGTGATAGGATATGAAGTCCTCAAAATTCATAGATTTCACTTAAACAGAGAAAGAGCCTTTTTTATTTTATTGTTTACACAGATCCCTTAGAGCGATAATGACGTCAACTAGGATGATATTACGTCACACATCATGTGTTTCCTCAGTACGGTTCAAGGCACCATTTCATATAATACGACTCTCTCCTTGTGTATTGTATATAATTATGAAATACAGTAACCATTTTACATTAGTTAGAAGCTTTGTATGAAAAAAAAATATATATATATATAGCTTATAAGCTTATCACACACGGCACCAGAACTTACCATTGTGTATAATGTCACTAACCTAGTTATAGATTGACAATAAAGTAATTTGTTATTTTAACGATAACAGTTGGTTTGGAGTGTGTTCCGCTTTGGTTCAAAGTGATATTTGTGCCTACATTTCTGGCATTAGTCTGATGTCTTTAAGTGTCGCTAATAGTTTCACAAACATTTATCCTTACCAACCTTTGCTACTTTTAATACCCATTCAAAATAAAATTTCCCTCAATAGGTACCCCTTGCTTCTAACCCGACTGTATAAAGTCACGCCGTTTCATCATGGAGACCGTGAAACGATAAAGGAAGCGAAGCAGAAGGTGGAACTACACTTGGAGCACATAAACGAAGTAGGTCACTGTATCCTATGATTCCAATAGTTATGTGTTTGGATCTAAACCGGCCGTGGTCTAACGGTTAGTGAATTCGAGGGTTCATGGTTCACGGCTCGTTGCGGGGGCGGTATAAGAGTAACGACAAAATCCAAATATTCGGTTAGGCTTAAGAGGTAGCGGTGGGTGTTGTTAACTAGCTGCCTTCCATCTAAACTGTAAATTTAACATTGGGGACGGCTATGCGAAGATAACCCTTTATGTAGGTTTGTGCGAATATTCGGAAAGAAATAAAATCGAAATATAGGAACAGCCAGAAATTAATGACTTTTCTGTTTACCAATTTACAATATCAATTATGTATTTATATCTACCAATCTTCCAATAGTAATTAGTAATATATATAGATTACCAAATCTCTAATAGTATCTTTTAAGCCACTAATGATGACATATACGTATAATGGGTAGTTGCTAAGCATCCGCTATTAACTACTTCCCAATAGTTGATATATATGTCTGCAGTAGCTACAGTTAATGTTTACCAAACGTCTACTGTATAGTAGTAATTATCAAACCATTAATTAACAGAAGGTACTTAAACCCAGATTAACATATGTAGACAAAAAGATAGGATGGGAAGAACAAGTTAAATATTAACCCATGTAGAACAAAGATAGGATGAGAAGAACAAGTTAAATATTAACCCATGTAGAACAAAGATAGGATGAGAAGAACAAGTTAAATATTAACCCATGTAGAACAAAGATAAGATGAGAAAAACAAACCAAGATTAACATATGTACAACAAAGATAGAATGAGAAGAATAAACCAAGATTAACATATGTACAACAAAGATAGAATGAGAAGAACAAACCAAGATTAACATATGTACAACAAAGATAGAATGAGAAGAACAAACCGAGATTAACATATGTACAACAAAGATAGAATGAGAAGAACAAACCAAGATTAACATATTTACAACAAAGATAGGCTGAGAAGAACAAACCAAGATTAACATATGTCCGTTTGTAAGCTATACGATCTGACGAATAGCGCTAGCTCGGAACATCATCCTTTTAAATCAGGTCAGTACTCTCCAACCACTATGGTTATTAATTAATCCAGTCAAGTCACTTGAGAGAATTTAAGATGACTACTAAACTGTCATCAATGGTACATGAACACTTCATACTTTCTAATGCTAGATCTGGTTACATCAAGTCAAAGTGTAAATATTGTGACCGGACTATTTCTACGTCAAGAAAAAACAATTATAACCTGCTGAAACATGTGAAGGTAAGCCTTTTTAATTATTTTTCTTAATATGAACTATATTCTATGTAGTTATACAATATAATATAGGTAAACTAAGTTTATCATACGTGTTAAACTATTTTTATTTTGTATTATATATTTTTATTATAAACTATATTCTATAACTGATATATTTATTTATTATTATATTTTTATCATTTTTATTATATACCATATTTATAGCTAAACTAAATTTCCCATGTTTTAAACTATATTAACCATCTTTATTTATTATTATATGTTTTTTATTTTTTATTATAAACTATATTCTATATTATATAAATGAGATACGTTTTTGTATTTCTAGCATAATCATGAGGCAGAGCTGCAAAAGCCTACATCTGGCTCTGATACTTCTGCCCAGGTGCAGCAGTCTACAATAGCAGTGTACTGTATAGAATAAACTAAATATAAGTCTACACACTTTCGTCAGAAGCACATCACTAACAAACTCGTCTGTTTTATTGTCGGTACGCTGCAGTCCTTCTCAGTGGTGGAGTCAAAAGATTTCCAAGATGTAATGGCTGTCATAGATTATCGGTTTATTCTTCCCAATCGCAAGCATCTATCTACAATGTTGATCGAGAGCAGGTTTGATGAAGTCCAACAAAAAGTCATCTCTCTACTGCAACTTGTAGCCAACATCAATGTCACTGTGGATATCTGGAGTAGTAGACAAATGCGCAGCTTCTTTAGAGTCACTGGTCATTTTATACTTGACTGGAAAATGCAAACAGTCATGCTGGCATGTCAGCGTTTCAAGAGGCGTCACACATTTGATAACATTGCAGCTCAATATGATGAAATAATAAATATTTTTAACATCAACAACAAGGTGACATCTGATAACGCATCGAACATGATCAAGGTTTTTGCTTGCCTGGATTTGAACTGCAAATACTACCTAGTATGAGAAATGGTGACTCAGAAGATGAACTTTTGGATGAATCTAAATCAGCAGACAATTTATGCGAATTTCTTTCTGAACATGACCCTTGCTTTTTTCACACGCTACAGCTTGTGGTCAGGGATGGCATGGAAAAAAGCTGGACCACTATTGAAAGTAATTTCCAAAGCATCAGCCATCGTGTCCTACATTCTAAAATTAACGCAATCAATTGATCTACTTGAGGGAGAGGCCAGAGCCCAGTCGATAACACCACCACGATGAAACTCAGAAATTAAGAAAATTAAGTCTTTTGAAGACTCCCTCAGGAGAAGTTGGATAATCTAGATACTGGTACATCGAAACTTACTTTTCATGATCGAACTGTGCTTGCAGATTGGTGACAATACTGACATCTTTTGAAGAGACAACAGATTTCACCCAGGGTTGGAACATTGTTACCTCCAGTTATGTAGTACCATGGGTTTAATGAGCTGATGACTGAGATTAACAGCATGCAGTCCAGATAAAAATTTCAATCTTGTTTTTTCAATGAAGAAATCTGTTCATGCCCGGCTGACTCATTATGAGCAACGAAGTGTTTTCCGCTTGGTTGCGTCATTGGATCCCAGATTTAAACTTGACTAGTGTTTCACTAGACCTATGGTCTATGAATCCAATCGAATGCTCCTGCAGCAAGAAGTCAAGAAAGTTTCCTCAACAAATAATCCTACAACCATGGAGCCAACAGAGGACTATAAATCACCCCTTACAAAAGAAGTAAGCGCTTTAGTTTCTTTGCTGCCTCCAAGAAACCAGCCACCTCATATTCAGAGGATACAGAGATCAACCTCGATGGTCCTTGCATTCCTGAAGAAAGCAACACTCTAGATAATTGGAAGATCCATGAAAAAAATGTTTCCTACCATATCTCTACTAGTGAAACGTTACCTGAGTGTTCCAGCATCCTCTTCCTCCGTTGAGCGTTTGTTTAGCATCCAAGGCAAAACCCTCAGACCTGATCGCTGCTGTCTCACTGATAAGATATTTGAGAGACTGGTGTTCATAAAGAACAATGGGCAATTATAATATCTATAAGTCTCCTTTGAAAATATATTTTTGTTCTAAAACTTTGTTATTGCATTTTGAAAAATATAAGTATTGAAATGTTATTATTTGTTCAAATTTTGTTTGTTTCAGTTTCAAAAAGTTTTTTCATAAAATAAAAGTATTGAAATGTTATTATTTGTTCAAATTTTGTTTGTTTCAGTTTCAAAAAGTTTTTTCATAAAATAAAAGTATTGAAATCTTATCGTCTGCTGTTTTATCATTATTGCTTATTACCTGCAAAGTATTCATGAATACATCCCTGTGTATTCGTATTCGATTTCGTCTTCATAAAAATATGAAGTATTCGTATTTGTATTCGATTACGGAACTTCAGTATATGCCCCATCCTTGCATTGAACCAGCTACTATAGCTGAGTTGTAGCGTCTTTTAGTGACAAGCTGAGATGAAATCACGGTGGAATACATCAATAACCTCATCGACAGCATGCTATGTTGCGTTGCGGAGGTTATTGGAGTACGATGAGGACCAACCAAGTACTGAATGTTTAATATGAACTGATATAAAGTTACAGACTGTATTTATAATAATTAGATGTTATATTTTGTCATTATATATGTTTTGATAAGGATTTGTTGTGATAGGTTAAATGCTGAATTACACATCTTTCTACAGGTGTCTGATAAAATTGTTTGCTGTTCTAATGAGTCATTCATGATGTCCATAGAACCTGTCTCATTATACAAGTTACATATGTAGATGTTTAATACAACATGCATTTGTCAGTTTGACAACGCTAAGTGTATTTGTATTCCATCTTAATAATAATTATCTTATTTGTTACAAAATATACAAACATTTTGGCCAAGACTGCCGGTTGAGAAGATCAAGTTAAAATATCAAGATTTTTTTTATCAGTTTTTTTTGTTTAAAATCGAATAATTGCTAAAGTCGATGAGAAATTTATTTTCATAACACCTCTAATCAGTAAAACCGTTTTTTAAGCAACGTTTTAAATCACATTTTGTAAACTTAAAGATGTGCTTAATATTTTACTTGTGAAACAATAAGATTTTGTAACATAAATCATTCTGCCATGTACTCTAAAGAAACGCTAATAAATTTATCTCTTTTTTTTTATTAATTTCCACAATGAAAAGGAATTTCCTCTGAATCTGATTGTAGACAAGGGATTCTGGTGTAACCAGTTTACCACTGACGTCAGTAGTAAAATAACAAAAAGAAAGAATGTTGTTTTATAGCAGTTTTATTATTGGAATTATTGAACCGTTAAAACCATATATATATTCCTCAAAAAGCATGAAAGTTATCCAGAGATGACAGCTAGTGCTCTTAAATACAATTATTTCAGACAAACTTGAAGCTTTTTCATTCCCATGGAATATAAAACTGAAGAGCATATTGTTCCAATATTCATGGTAATTAAAATCCTTTATTAGTTTAGTACTGGAATTGTTTAAAAACATAATTTCAACAACAACTGGTGCAAGTTGTCAAAATAGACTCTTCTTTAATAGAACAAATCCACTTTTTTTTGTAATTACACTTGTGTAATACCTTATCCACTTTTTTTTCTGATATAAAGGGGGTTCCTAGAAGTAAATTGAAATGAATTTTGCAATTTTCTTTATTGCCAACCAGTTCCCAGTTAAAAATAGTTCTAATTTCACTAAAGTTAGGATGAGAAGTTTTATTTAGAAATTGAAAAAGTTTTAATTTCAC